TGGAAAGTCGGCCCAGAGTATCAGGGCACCGAAGTACCGGGGCCCAGGAGTACAGGGGCCCAGGGATACAGGCCAAAGAGAATGAACGTGAAGTTAAGGAAAAGCGTTGGAGCAGAAAGCTCGCTGACTAAACATTTTATGCATCGGTGGCCGGGCGAAATTTGCCGGAGAGACGAGGGACCTGGAAGGCGAGGTGTTCCTTAATGTTCTTGCGATAGAACACGCGCCAGGGAGCAGTGTCGTCTGCGGTATGCAAAGCCCTCAACAAACTCAACTGAGGATCCTCCGTGGTGACGATTGGATACCAGACGGTCAGCTTACGAGTCGGGATCATGGGCTGGATGTAGGGGTCAAGAAGAATGCGAGGTCACAGTGACCGGCCTTCATCCCTTCCAGGACCTTCTCAAGTACGTCCATTCAAGCCCTCACCGCCTTGGCCCGCCGTTTCTTCCTCGCATTGGATAGCCGAGAGGCGTATTGGCTCTTTGTACGAAGCTCGGAGAAAAGAGGAAGTCGGTGTCGGTCTTCCCATAGACTCTGACGTGACGCATCGACGTAAGTATCATGGAGCTTCACGAGGTCACTGAACCAGCCGGACACTGGAAAAGAAATAGGGGTTACGGTCACGACCCCCTGGGCCCAAGGACATGAGTCCATCAGAAGCTGAAGTTGAGAGTCCTTCATGAGGGCTTCGCTCCAGATTGGGGGACTTCGGGGATTCTGGATTTCAGAATCACCCACCCAAGACAGTGGAAGCGATACCTTGGACCAAAGATCCTCTGGCATCAGCTGGGTGATAACGAGGGCCCCTACCTGGGAAATCGACCAGGGGGCAACATCTTCCGCGGCGAACGTGCTGGGTGTCGCATAACCAGGAAGGGAAGAGCCGTGGATGTTACGGTCGGGGAAAGCATCATGAGTGGGACCCTGGCTGGCAGAACCCTCAGGTGTTGGTACCGGATCCTCGCTTCTGGGATGGGTGCAGGATCCTCGCTGCTGGAACCCTTGGAGGGGGGTGCTGGACCCTTGCCGCTGGAACCTTTGGGTGGTGGTGCGGGACCCTTGCGGCTGGAACCCTTGGATGGTGGTGCTGGGCCCTTGCCGCTGGAATCCTTGGAGGATGGTGCTGGACCCTTGCCGCTGGAACCCTTGGAGGATGGTGCTGGACCCTTGCCGCTGGAACCCTTGGATGGTGGTGCGGAACCCTTGCCGCTGGAACCCTTGGGTGGTACTGGACCCTTGCCGCTGGAACCCTTGGGTGGTACTGGACCCTTGCCGGCGGGGCCCTTGCGGCGGGGCCCTTGCGGCGGGAACTTTTGGCTGGTGGCTTACGCTTAGCATGGCTAGACTCGTCACTCTCAGTTTCATAGTCTGGTCCAAACATTTCCAAGAACTCGTCGGAGTACGTCGTTCGAGCCTTCTTGTTCCTTGACGCCCGAGACGCTGCGTGGGAGGTGCGAGGGGATGGTGGCCTTGAAGGTGGAGTGGGAACCTTGGACTTGGCCTTAGTCGATAGGTCTATGACCTCGGGGCCGACCTCTGACGTAAAGGGTACAGGGCCGGAGCGACGACTGGAAGCCCGCAACCTGGCCATAGCGGCGAACATCGAGTCGTCACTACTGCTATCCTCGGCCTCAGATGACCCCGGACACGATTGGCTTTTCGCTTCTTCGGCTTAAGGGGCGACCGAGCCTTGGATGAAGGCGAACGTGACCTTTTCGTCGTTCTGGAACTTCGGGCTTTGGTCGTGGCTGGAGTCGATTTTGCCGCCGTGCCTCGAGCAACCGTTAGCTGCTTCTGCAGCTGGTCACGTTCCCGGAGGAGGGTCTTCACGCGGCTCTTGTAGTTGGCAACCTCCTTCTGGAGTACCAACACTTGTTTGGACAGTTCTTGAGGACTGCGAAGTGCGTCCAACTTGGACTCCAGCGACTGGATCTCAGCCGAAGAACTTTTGACAGCCTCGTCGTACGGTCCTTCCAGTACTTGATCTGGGATCGGGATTCTTCCACTTCCCGAGAATTGTCCACCCGTTGGGTGAGTGCATCCCGGTACTCGGCGATGGCCAGCTGGTCCACTTCATGCTCGTGGACCAGATTACGGACCCAAGACTGTATCCGGGGTGCATGGGTCACCTCAAATTCCGTGATGTCGTCTACGCGACGCTGTAATTCCGCGGTACGGCGATGTTCCATCTGGTAGGCCCGTTGGAGTACCCTGTGTTTCTCAGCGAGGGTCTCCATGGCCTGGGCCCGTTCCACCGCGACACTTAAGACTTCCCAAGCTTGAGAGACCTCCATATAATTGGGGGACTCCCCAATAAGGTCCACGGTCGGGGCGACCTCGTCAGGGTCAGGTCCAGGAAGTGCGGAAAAAGACCAACGGTCAGGTGCTTGAGACCCGGTGGAAAGATAACGAGAAGTCACTAACGGATACAAGACGTGTGAGTTGGTGAACGCAACCACCCAAGCGACGTAGAATCACTTACTGTTAATTCGAGGAGTTTGGGCAAGGGTGCACGTGGTCTTACCGCAGTTCGAAAGACCAGCGCGCAGGGGACAAATGTGGTGAAGTGCCAGGAAAAGTTGGAGTTTAAGGGAGATGGAACGAAGAGCAAGAGAACTTCTGTTCACTTCCCCGAGGGAGTGACCACGACCCGGCCTCGCGGATTTACAACCACACACCAGGCCCCGCCGTATTAAAAATATAAGGACCCATACGTGAGGAGTCAGCACAGGCCCCAGGTCCCGGAAACAGGTTCCAGGGACCCAGGGGTACAGGGGCCCAGGGTACAGGGGCCCAGAGGCCCAGGGGTACAGGGGTAAGGGGCCCAGGGGTACCAGGGCCCAATGTCCGAGGGTGCAGAACCGGTACACAGAATATCGAAGATTACAGAAAGTGTAGGTAACAAGGAGCCAGTTCTTCTTCCAAGAGTCCACACGGGGCACTATCTAGATCAAAGGGTTAAGGTTAGGCAAGAAAAGCATACAGAGAATAAGGTAAATAAACACACTCGAATTTGCATTACACGTGGCAGCTTTAAGCGCCCCTCCTAAGCTTCTCCGTCGCTTCACCTCTTCCGGGCGGGATACCCTTTGGCCCCCCCCCGACGTCCAGCAGGTGTTAGACGGCTCAAGCAACGCAAGTTGAACCTCAGGATAGTTGGCCTGAGGTGTCAAGTAAGTGTCAACACTCTACGACCCGCTACAGGAAGCGGTTTCCCTACGGGGAAGAACACAAAGGGGTCCAAGGACCAAGAACAGTCAGCCACCAAAGGGGTACGCAGTACCAGGTGCATCGCTCTCGACTAAGTCGATTGAGCCCAAGAAACCCGGTCCCAAGTGAAGTATATCCACTCGGGGACCACCAAGTCCAATTCTTATACAAAGACCAAGTTTAAGTCTTCTACGTCTAACCGAGGAGCAAGACCAGCCAAGCCGACGGGTACACATGGTGAGAACCAAGGTTGACGCGACACGGTATCGGGGTACCCCCTCCGTAAGTCGGCAGTCCGGCGCTGTGTGTGTTTGTGGTTCTCTCACGTTGTTTGAGAATCCACTCCACCACACCAATTCTTCCTCCAAGAGTCGGCACGTGGCACTATCCAGATCAAAGGGTTAGGGTTAGGCAATAAAAGCATACAGAGAATAAGATAAATAAACACACTCGAATTTGCATTACATGTGGCAGCTTTAAGCGCCCCTCCTAAGCTCCTCCGTCGCTACACCTCTTCCGGGCGGGATACCCTTTGGCCCCCCCGACGTCCAGCAGGTGTTAGACGGCTCAAGCAACGCAAGTTGAACCTCAGGATAGTTGGCCTGAGGTGTCAAGTAAGTGTCAACACTCTACGACCCGCTACAGGAAGCGGTTTCCCTACGGGGAAGAACACAAAGGGGTCCAAGGACCAAGAACAGTCAGCCACCAAAGGGGTACGCAGTACCAGGTGCATCGCTCTCGACTAAGTCGATTGAGCCCAAGAAAACAGGTCCCAAGTGAAGTATATCCACTCGGGGACCACCAAGTCCAAGTCCTATACAAAGACCATATCTTCTGCGTCTAACGAGGAGCAAGACCAGCCAAGCCGACGGGTACACAAGGTGAGACCCAAGGTTGACGCGACACGGTATCGGGGTACCCCTTCCGTAAGTCGGCAGTCCGGCGCTGTGTGTGTTTGTGGTTCTCTCACGTTGTTTGAGAATCCACTCCACCACAAGCATGTACTTGTCGATGACCACGTTCCACATCGATGGCGCCTCCTTCAAATCGTAAAGAAAGCGATGATGTGATGGAGCACATCAACAAGATACAGACTGGCGGACTATCATGACGCGAGGAGGACTTTACGAGAAGCATGATCACCAAGGCGACAGCTCAAAGCGCTGGTTGAATTTGCAAGCCAATTTTTACGTACAAAAGTTATTTAGTGAAAATGTGTTCACGTCAAATTTCCACCAATAAAATAATATTTTGAAAAATTGCAGATACAGCAATGGACGTGGTGACGCCTGCTCATCTAGAGACAAAAATCCGCCAAGAGATCGGTGCTGCGCTAGTCGAGGCCGTAGATTTGTCCGATGGTTGTGGTAGTAAATTCAGTCTTGTGGTCGTGCACGAAGGTTTCGAAGGTCAGCTGCGACTAGTGTCGAATTATTCACAACAAAGAGGTTGAAACTAACATGATTTTAATTTGTAGGCCAGTCACTACTAGAACGCCAGCGTCGAGTAAACGATTGTCTGAAGGAGGAAATGACGCGTATTCATGCGCTGCAAATGAAGACGTGGACGCCTTTGCAGTACGAGCAGAAGACAAAGAAGAAGCTGCCTCTGGGTGATAACCAGCTATCGGAGGAGCAGTAGTCAGATAGGAATTTTCATAATGCTCGACAGAGACACGGGGTCGTTGTCACTGACAATCTGTCATTTCTAACAGACTGTCAATGTTGACTTTAAGCGTGGACCCTATGGCAAACTGCAGGTTGAGACACGACGGGGGGAGTAGGAAGTGCAGCGAACAGGACCATCTCGTGCAAGCTCTAATTTAACGCTCGACTATTACCGCTTAAAGATATGAATGCTGCTATTCTTGCTGTTGGGTGCTCCGTTATACCTAATATGCTTTCCCAGACAATTTGCAAATAGTCGCTGCTCCTTTGCAAGTCTGCTGCTACCAGTTCTACTTGTCAGTAAGCATGCGGCATTTATCCTGCGACATTATGCTCTGCAGCTACAACAGGCCTTGGTACTCTTGCAGCGACTTTGCAGACGAATCTCGTCGCTGCTCAGATATGCCTGGCACGCGCGTTTTTCACTTCAAGTAGCTACATGTAGGTTTGCTAAAACTCTGCTAACGCTCCAGTTCCTCGACAGGCATCTTCAGTCGCGTCTATTTTAAATCACGATGTTGTAACTCTTACCGCTTGAGGATAGCCAGGCATTCTCGGACGAAAAGTGCAGCTGGAACTTACGCTATACTTGGCCATGGTATTGCCTCCCGTCAGCGGTTGGGTATGGACTCCATACTATGGAGCACGGTGTATTTTTCCATGCAATGACGACAGCGACTGCCTTTTCACATAGTAAGTAAACTTTGAAGACATTTTCGTCTGCTGAACCAGAATGACCACTTATGCGGAAGCCCAGCAACGCTAACTACAAAATTTTCCAGTCATTGTTTGGTTGTCTTGATTGCTTGAGAGACACACCCTGGACATCAGCACACAGCTCGAAAGACATGTCACCAATTGTTACTCGTCATCCATACCTTATGCGAACATACGCAATCTTTAGGCAGTAGTGTTGTTACCTTCGTGACGGCTTCTCCTTGATACGAAAGTAAAAATAATGGTCTCAAGTCTACGGCACTTCGTAGAGCATTTACTCATAATTGCCAACACACCGCATAGCCGTGTTGTTTCTTCCTCCAATGCTTGATTTGACAAGGTTTGTGACGCTTTTCGCATCAATCTGCACCTGGCCTCATTGATTTCCTATCGCTCTCTTCGTCGTTGTCTGTCACCATACTCTTTCTCGTGCTTTTTTTCTCTTGATACCTTTGTTTTTTTTTCTTGATAAATCCACATCAGGTGTCATAAGGCAGCAACAGCTGAAAGAGTAGAAATTAATAGTTCGCTTGAGGTAGTCTCTACTCCATCAGGATGTTTGATCCTCCCCATACTTCACATTTAGCAGTCGTTGCAAGTTTATCGTTTGCTTTTTTCTCCATATTTTCTATCACACGCTGATGAATCTCCTTGGAAATGGTTCCTGTCGCCTAGCTCGCACCTTCATCTCCGTCACTCCGTTGCACAACTGAATTTTAAGCTTCTTCGTGCGTAGGCCGAAGCAAATAGAGGTGTACACCATGGTTTCGGTCATGTGATGAGGCAGCTTTTGGCTGTCCCAAGAGAGTCCTGCACGCGCAGGTGAGCTTCAAATTACGGACGGGCCACGTGGCGCTTACTTTTCCCGAGTACTTCTATAGCATATGTGCCGTATGAGATGATTTGTTCATTGCCTTGGCTTCTTGTCGAACCTTCCTCTGGCATTTCTCTTGCTAAAAGCTTCGATCTAGCACGGTTAAAATGTACATCCTGACACATTTTCCGCTGACGAAGCGAAGATGGGATATCATCAGGATTGTGGCTTGGACTCATAAAACTCCATGTGTGCGCCTGGAGGACACCGCGCGACCAAGTGTTCTGCTCTTCGTGGTTTATCATGGTAGCTTTAACCTTTTTTCGGTTGCGTCTTCATGAAGTACGCCGTGCTGTTAGCTCTCGCGTTTCTTTAGCGCATCATTTATGGGAATATTCTAAGATTGCCGCTGGTATTACCGTTGCTGAATCGATCCCGACCTTTTTCCATGTAGATTTTCATGCATGACAAGGTGAGTTTTACCATGTTGACCTTGGCGAGTCACCACTTTGTGGAAACGTTGTTTGTGCCGCGTCATAAAGTGTTAATATACTCAGTAGCATGTTGGTCCATCAGTCCAAAACCATGTGAAGCCATTCTGACTATTGACGAAGAAAGTGCATCAAGTTGACACAAAAAGCAGCTGGTTCTATTCCCACGTATGAGTTATAGCCTCTACAGAAACTGGACTTGGTCGTGTACGTCATAAAAAAGCCACCTGGTTGAAGGTAAAGAATATCGGGTACAAGTGAAGCGAATCGCATCATCTTTGTAATATGGAACATTACTAAAGCGGTCTTCCGCTGCTGTCATCGTTCTGCTAAGTATACATTGGTAAGTAGCGCACGCTTTTCGAGCTAGTTTTGCTATAGAAGACTGTAAGTTCGTTTCATACGAGGGAACGAGGGCCGAGAAGACGAGACATATACTGGAAGCATACGCGGTCATTCTTCTACTGCTTTTTGTCCAGTAGTAGCCAGCGTGGTTGCATGTCTGTCTAGTGAGATGCAAATCATAGGCGGCTATAAAAAGGACGTTGCGTTGCCGTAGTGAAGCGAGCGTACCGGCGAACCGACACAAAGATACAAGAAACTGTAGTTATGTCAACGTGCCATAGCCAGACAACCCCAAGAGCTGTCACCACAGGTGACAAGCCCAGTCCACACACCGGATACAAACGAGGAACTGGCGTTACTAACGAGGTTCAAGATCTACCAATTACGAAAGCTTTAATCGACTCGTCTGCCTTCTCTCACAGTATGTCTTCTGTATAGTATCAATATATACACGACATGATCAAAGGTGCGGCAGCTCACCTCTTTAAGTCGATAAGTCAGTCATACACTCGAACAGATGGCCAATCACAGGCCGCCAAAGTCGAGCCCTTGGATGATGATGTCACTTTTCACTCGACAAATTGCTTAGTGCTTGATCGATTGATCAGATTTTACTAATAGATAATGACTGAAAAGTCCATTGTCCGACTACGGTCCAATACTGGTGTTTCCAAGTCCACAATTGACGAACATTACATTGAAAAGGATGAGGGCGAATTCTATACGAAAGAGCAGGCTGAAACCGGCTTCCAGTGGTCCGAGGTCGTCTGGTACAATGTGATCGTGTTAGTTTTGTGGCACGTTGGTGCCCTGTACTCACTGCTGTTCGTCATACCACACTGCTCACTCAAGCAACTACTGGTGCTTTGGATTGCGCTCTGGGTCGTGACTGGCCTCGGCATCACGGCTGGGGCACACCGTCTCTGGTCACATCGCAGCTACAAGGCCAAGCTACCGCTACGCGTGTTCCTCATGCTTTGTAACTCTATGGCATTTGAAGGCACGATTTTTGAGTGGTCACGTGACCACCGCGTGCATCACAAAGGCTCAGACACGACAGCAGATCCGCACAATTCGAAGCGTGGCCTCTTCTTCTCGCACATGGGTTGGGTCATGGTACGCAAACACAAGAACGTGCACCTAGCCGGTAAGAAGCTCGACTTTTCCGATCTTCTGGCTGACCCTGTCGTCACCTTCCAGATCCGACATTATTTAAAGATGGTGCTGCTCATGTGCTACTTGGTGCCTACGGTCATAGGCTACTACCTTGGCAGCCCCTGGGCAGGATTCTGGGTAGGCGGTGTTTTCCGTCACGTCTGGGTACTGCATATGACGTGGACGGTCAACAGTGTGACGCACTTCTTCGGCTACAAACCTTACGACCGCAACATCCATGCTGTCGAAAACCTCCTCGTTGCGCTCGGTGCACTTGGCGAAGGTTACCACAATTACCAGTCCGTTGTATTGATTCCTCTACTCTTTTTATGAACATGGCTAATGCTCTCTTCTTTCCTCTTTGCAGCCACAAGTACCCGTCGGACTACGCGACGAGCGAGTGGGGCATCCTGAGTGGACAGTTCAACCCGACTAAAGCGTTCATCGACTTTTGCGCTCTAATCGGCCAGGCCTACGATCTCAAGCGCAGCCGCACAGCCGCGAGAACCCGAGAGAACGTGACCAAGCAGGTGCGCGAAGAGCATCTGAAAAGCGCAACGAATTTGGCTATATCGTGGTGGGACCGTCAACTGAGCCATCTTTTTTTTGGCAAGACCGAGGCCCAGATCTTTTAGTAACATTGGGAAGAAGGATTGGTACCCTAAAGGCTTTGAAGTGCTCGATCACGCAAGTCGCTACTTTACTATCGCCTGCCTGACTTGCCTCAATTGTCAAAACTACCAGTTATTTCAGCTTCGAAGCAATTTTTGGCCTCGTGACGTATTAACGAAGCAGAAATCAGATGTCATGTTTAAAAATAAATACTTTACAAATTGTCTGTCATTAATAAAAAATAAAATGTTCTGAAGCTGCGCTTTAACTTGTTTGTCACCTGAGCATGAATGCTCAATAACAAAAATGCTATACAAATTCAGTACGTAGCTGCTGCAGCGATGGTACCAACCCTCATGACAAAAGTGCCCATTAGAATAAACCCGTTTTGAATCACAATAGCAGCACCTGGCCACGCCGACTCGTTGTACTCGTTATTCACGTACGTGTGCGTGAATACCAACAACGACCCCATCAGTGCAGCCACTGATAAAGCCATGCAAAAAACTACAAAGCACCTGTACCAGAACAGCAACAATTATAGTATTATTCAGTTAAGTAAACAAAAAAATAGTACTGTAATAATATATTTGACGAACCGGGCACGAGTGGCCACTTCCGAGCCATAAGCAAAGCGGGCATCTTCTGATAGCATGCCCCAGTCCACTGTGTTTACCCTGAAGCAGAAAAGCACAATGCTGACGTGAGTACTGTTCTTCCTGTCATCATTCTACGCTTACTATTACTATAAAGTATCTATCCCTACGTACAGGAAAAACGCAAGCGTGGAGACGATGCCTGGCAAATACTTGACAAAGCCGAATGGGATCTGCGAATGGTTGTAGGCCGCAGACGCCGCGCCGTCTGCTAAGACCCACCAACCTACGCCCACTAGCATCCCTGCTGCATAACTGCCAGCCTTGCCGGGATCCACTCCCATTATGTCAAAACGTTGATTAAAGTAATAGTACTATTTCTCTTTGGACAACCATCTGTTTTGCTTAACCAATGAATTGTCAATCACACCTCTCTCAATTAATACGGGCTCGTCACCCTAGCCATTGTGTAATGCCCACACGTTCCATAACGCCCATGTATAATAGACGTCGACACGCAGATTCTTCGTAATTTACTGAGTCTTACACCTGCTGCTACCTACTCAAGGCTTTCCCTCTATATAAGAACTGTCCGACGCCTTTATGATCGATGCCTTCATATCCAAAGCCTTTGTGGCGCAAAGAAGTCAAGTGGTGGTGCATTAGCACATTGAATACTGCAAGTCCAGACCACATGGCAATGACCAGCTAAAATACTAAACGTCTTGGGCTAAGTGGATTTCATGTGGATTACGCAGGAAGTTTACGCCGCAAAATCATTGACACGATCGCAGTCAACCACATCGCTCACCTGAGTTTAGACAGATGGGTTATGATGAGTTAAATTACAACATTAGCAACGATATAATGTCACAGTCGCAGAGACCGGAGGGAATGCCACACATGCTCGTGACCTCCTTAATCGACAAGATGATGTGTGAATGGATGAAGGGCGTTTATGAGCTCATGGTGGACACTCAAGACGCGTTGGTATAGTCGAGTCGACGTCAGAGGGAGACAACATGATATTTTGTCTACTGATGCCGCTGGAGCTCGTAGCGGCAAAGAGGTTCTTCATGTCAATCGCCATGTGAACATTTGTGAACTACAGCTGCTGGATTCGTATCAGGCAAGCTATTTGCACGAATTTATTCAAGAGATATGCAGGATGTATAAAAAAAAATCTGGATTACTTTTCTGCTGTTGTCTATATGAGCTGGAGCTGCAGAGTGTTCAATGATAGACTGGAAACAATTGCTGTATAATCCAACAAATACCAGGCTACTATTGCATTTGATCCGATGCAGATATCGGAGGATAATTTGAGTAATTGCGTGGGATCATACGCATTTTATGATAAGGACGGACTCTTATTCTGAGGCATCTGGACGTTGGACAAATCCTCTAATGTCTGCACTGTGGAGATCTAGGATATATTATGGCAAGGTGTTTTTATGCAGAGGTACAACTGAACGGGCCGGGTAGTAGATTATCAAGCTGGTCGAACCTTCTGCATATAATTTGGCGTGATCAAACCTTCTGGTGAAGGAAAGACTCTTGGGAAGCAGTGTACCTTTGTCGTGCGGTGGCTGCTTCAAGTTGGCGATGGAAAACGTTGATCAAAAGTATGAGTTCGTGTGCCGCCATCTGCTGATCTCCGCCATGCGGATAAATGGTCTTCTAGTCCGGCCACATCTTGCTCGTAGCCATTCCTTGAGAGGCAGCACGAAAAAAGCGACTTGCACACGTTTCTCCAAGCGTGGTGTTGTCTCCGTATCAAGATAAACGGCGAATAGTCTGCTACTCTCATGTATAACCTGCTCGCTATCAACCGATCGTGCTAACTTTAAACTCTGACTGTTTGTTCCATGCAATGTCGTCTCAAGACGAGTCTCCATGTCAACATCCCTCATCGAGTCATGACACGTTAGCAAATATACTTGTCCGACAGATACCGCTTTTCTGCCTGTCATGATTCCGTCGCATGAAATGCATGAAAGCTTAAAGCTAGTGCAGTCAGTTGTATCAAATGGATTATGATATACTTGCATTTGTTCGTTCGTTCTCAGCAGTTAACATTCCCATTATTAAATAAACAAGATCTCACAAACCTCATAAGATTTGTCGTGTGCCCATTTCTGTGCTTCTACTCATCGTTCCAGCAGATCCTCGACCAGTCATGTCACTCGCGTCACTCACTAACCGATTCTTCTTTCCACGTCGTACAACAATCGTCTCGTTTCATAGCATTATGAGTAAACACGAACTCTTTTCGACTTGTACCAATTTGGCATCTCTCAAGGGACAAAACTTTATGTCTACAGCGGAGCTGGATACGGAGCAACTTCTAGGACTTTTGACCAAAGCACAAGAGTTTAAAGTCACGTATTCGGATAAAGATACAAAGGCGTCGGCTTCTAAGCCACTTACGGGTGAAATCTGTTCAATGATTTTTCAAAAACGAAGTACGCGCACGCGCATTTCGAGTGAAGTGGGAATGCATTTGTTGGGTGGAAAAGGACTCTTTCTCTCATCTGATGATATTCAATTGGGTGTGAATGAAACACTCAAGGACACGGCACTTGTGCTCTCACGCTTTAATAGCCTTATCCTAGCACGTGTGTACGACCACAAAGACATTCTAGAGCTTGGTGAATTGGCTACGGTGCCCGTGATAAATGCACTTTCGGACAAGTTCCACCCGTTGCAGATGTTGGCCGACTATATGACAGTCAAGGAACATTTTGGCAAAATCGAGGGTCTTACGTTTGCCTGGGTGGGTGACGGCAACAATGTACTGCACGACTACATGTTGGCCGCTCCTAAACTCGGTGCCAACATTCAGATTGCCACGCCTCAGGGCTATGAGCCCGACCAGGACGTCGTGGACGAGACCAAGCGCCTCGCCGCGCTTGCAGGTACCAAGGTTATCATGACCACCGACCCTGTGGAAGCTGTCAAGGGCGCAAACGTCGTGGCCACCGACACGTGGATCAGTATGGGCCAGGAGGAGGAGGCGCAAAAACGTCTCAAGGACTTTGCAGGCTACCAGATCACTAACAAGATGTTGCAAAATGCGCACGACGACTACGTCTTCCTGCACTGCCTGCCGCGTCACCAGGACGAGGTCGATGACGAGGTATGAAACATGACGGATTCATATTTGCTAGGTGACTGATATACTAACGAAACATTGCTGTGCTTTTGCTCTACTTGATTCATTGCAGGTCTTCTACGGACCCCGCTCGCTCGTGTTTGACGAGGCTGAGAATCGGCTGTGGACGGTGATGGCCGTGTACGCGTCGCTGCTTGGCAAGTTCTAGGTCAACAACACCTCAGACCAGGTCACTTTCTGTAACGCCGAGTCGTGGTGGTAAATGAATAATGACAGCCATGAACAAACCATGGTGCGCTTACGATTTCGTAGTACTCGCCAGACATTGTTTTCGTGCTGCCTCCTTAGTTTTTATGCTTTGTGTGAATCCGCGGTGGCGCTTGGCCTCACAGTAGTGTGGAAAGCCAAGACCAAAGATCTATCGAAAGGTTCTCAATGAATCTTCATTGCAGCAATGGGAGGTAACGACGGCGAGCAAGTTCCAAGTAAAATGAGGTGATCGTACATTGAGCAACGAATCACCTCATCCCTCTCGTCCACATATGCGCGGAAGAACTCTCAATAACAACGATGTAATCACGCAGCTTTCTCCGGAGCCAACGTCATTGTCTCCATCAATATGCCTAGTACCTATCACGTGGCAAGACCGTGTACCTCACTAAGTTTCACAAGACAAACTGTACGCCCAAAAAGGTCCTCACGGACATCACTCATAACAAACACATTCTGTCGCTAGCTTATGCACGTAAGGATACGTAATCTCATAACCGGCGAATGAAGTCTCAAATGTCGTAATGACATTCACAAGAACCGGTGCGGTCGTCTTCGATGCCTGTGCCGCTGCAGCTGGTCATTAAAGAATGCCACTTGATCGAAGCATTGACCGCTGATTGATAAAATGTACTAGTTGTCAATGTCAAATAAGCGCATCCCGTCGAGCAATGCTCTGTGTATGGTCATTGAGGTTGAGAAGAACGCCATAACTTCACCCCCGCAACGGTCTTTTGAGCAGGCATCTTGTTCATCGACGGGGATCAATATCAGCAGGCCGCCATTCATGGAATCAGAATGGCAAACCCCGACGAGAAGGCTAAGCCACACGTAGTTACATATACCATTGTCAATCACGGATGCGAATTACGACTTGATGCAGAAGGGCCGCAAGCAAGTAAAGTAAACACCTGATTGTCGTTCAACCTACTTGGGTAGCAACATCGGAAAACAGGGTAGATACGCCTCAGCAATCATGCGTTCCAGACACTCGACGCTCTGTCTATTAAATACGTTCACCACCGTCTGGCAATGGCGATCGGGTTACCGACAACAATATTCACCTCATGTCAGGTTGACTACTAGCGCTTGAGAAGAAGCTAGACGTGTTCGCACTCGACCCCTCACGCAAATCTTCAGCTGATTCTGATGTCAAAAATCCATTCAACACTTTCGAATGAGTGTTCTCGATCGTTGCATCAAAATATGAGCAAGTCGCCGTCTGGTCTGAAGGCAAGCCTAAAACAAGCGTTGGGAGCTTACCGATCGAGAACATCAAGGCGGCAAAAGGTAAGGTCATGAATGTTTTGCTAAAGCCTGCATTCCACACCGTGCTGACAAAGCGCAACATGCACGGATCTGGGCTCAAAAATGACGTGTCCATTCTTGCTCTTGCATACACTTGACAATCTGCTTGCAGAATTACCTCAACATTCTAATAGGCGGCAACATTCCTCGGACGATCTTCGCTATGTTTCGATGAAACCATGTACGGCAACCAAGCACGTTGTACGATTATAATCGACTGATTAGTCAACACGTACCTGAACTTCTTCATGCGCGATGAGCATTCAAACAAGAGTGCGATGTTGTTGTTTGTCGAAACGACAAGAACCCCATCACTCAAGTGTCAAGTGACCACGTCTAAATATCAAATATCGATCTCTGCACAACACGTCAAACAAATCCATTACGTACATTGATGGAGCTGCAGCAGCGAGTGATATGTTACAATGAGCCTACACTGCTGAGAAGAAATTTGAGTGCGACAAGGTTTCGCGCAATTTGGAGATGGGACAGTATCAAACGTATTTTTATCCAGGAGTGCAAGGCCAAACAGGTTACGAGCAGGAGTTGAGCGCTCCCTGCATGAAATGAGTTTGCTGGAGAAATTTAGCTGACTTTCCTGGCAAACTCACTGTGGCTGATATCATGAAGATGATTCATTGCAAAAACTCACTTCCGCGTGCATGCGCCTGCTCGGATCGTGGCTCCTTATCACAGCAGTTCAGGAATAGACTCAAAATCCGGCGGACATACCATACGTCACATGGCTTTCAGGTGTACCCAACTCGCAGTTCATGACAGTTATCATCCAAGTCACATCGCAAATGTACCAGCGGAAGCCAAAAATCCAGACAGGCGAGCTCACGAGCTGCAACGATCGCGCGACGGTGCCTACATTCACGGGCTCTATCTCACGGGTAGGTTGCGACGTACAGACCAATAGTGTAAATCAGTCGGGCTTCAAAACATGTTTTTACCCATGTCAGTCATCCACTTCAAGGACAAGGCTGTGGCAGCCGCAAAGCTTGGCATTAAGAGGGCGTTCATTTGTCCGTGCTACAAGACAGAATTCCGCAATCTACCGCCGTCTGCTCGTTGGGTATCACCATCATGGGAAGTGTATAAGTCCACCTGGACAACAGTTCAAAAGCAGTTTATTCTAGCACAACAACTAAACGACAAAACTGCAATTAATAAAAATGCATACGAACATGCACAATTCATTTCTATTGCTCTCATTTGGCTTGCAGCATGTGTTGCTTCCACATTTCCAGCGTGCCCTTTGCTGAAGGTGTCAATTGCAGCTCCTCCCTGCAGTAGCAACAACACAAAAATAATGGTCAGATCTGAACGAATGCATTCCCTCAAGGTAAAGCCATAAAGCCAAACTCTCATACAATATCGTCGATCCTTCCATCAGCAAGTTTTCTACCGTCAAAAATTCCAGCTCAACCGACTCGAACTTGTCCATCGGTCCAGCTTTGTACAGTTCCTTCAACTCGTGAGCCGAGCACTTGATTTTAATATGAAAAGCTGCACCACATACACACCACATCATCGACAAAGAGTCAGAAGTCTTTTCAGCACTCACCCAGCAATCAACGTACAAAAACTAGGCGTGCATGCGTCCGTCTGTAGCACAACCCCAAGCAACATTTGCAGTTGTTGCAACTCTGGAGCCACATTTAATTCCTCATAAACTTCATGTACAATAGATTGAAATAATTCACGTCTTGCTGCCTTTTCCATCTCTGTTTTCTTCTTGTCCTTTAGCATGTGTAAACTGTCTTCTGTCAATTGAATATTGGAAGGCTCAGGGTGTCCACCTGGTGTGTCATACATATTCTGATAAAGACCAACATTCTTGCTCCTTTTGATAAGTGCTACATGACCGTCTACTGTCTCTACCACTGCTGCTACACCGACTTTTCTCGATAAAAAAGCAAAACGATCTCCATGTAGTTGCTCTCCATCTTTTAGTAATTGTGACGTCAACGATGAGCAGCACATGCCAACATATGATGCATAGTCGGTTATTCCCAAGTGCAACGTAAGTAAGGAGTGATGGTCACTAGGGGTAAGGGTTATCTGCTGGAGACGAAACTTGGACGCATTGAACAGTCTCGGCGTTTTGCACTTGAGTTGGTCCCAGGTCTGCATCTTGAGTTGCTCAAAGCGAGTATCTGGATGTGGAAGACGATTGAAGCAACTGGAGAGCGAGACGGTCACCTGGTCCATGGCTAACGGCGTCTTGAAGTAGCAGACAGAGAAACTCATAAGGCGGCGTCGCATGAAGTAAATAATAAATTTGATAGAGGTGTACATGTGGTAGAAAAGACAGTGTTTGATGAGATTGATTTTGATAAATGATAAGAGGTATATCTCCTATACTTTATTAAAGAAGAACAATTTAAAAAGTCAGTATAAAAGTAAAAAAAAACTTGTGATTTAATAAGCAGAAATATGCAGAGTTTACTTCATGGTGTACGTGAATATTTGACGCCAGTACTGACTGAATCATCGTTTGAAAACAAGGGACTGTTAACACCTGAGGAGTTTGTCAAGGCCGGTGATCTGCTAGTGTACAAATGCCCTACATGGCGATGGGAAAGTGGCGAACCGAGTCTTCGACGCGCCTATTTGCCAGTAGATAAGCAGTTTCTAGTCACACGCAATGGTTCGGATTGGCTGTGATTGGCTGATTAGGTGGAAGATTATATATACAGAGATATACTTATTGTTGTTTATTGTCTATTGCAGTGCCATGCCGCCGTCGTGTGACGTCGTTGGAGCAGAGTTACCAGACAGAAGAAGCCGTGGAAGGAGAAGATGAGTGGGTGGCTGCTTCCTCCTATGCAAATGAAGACAACAGCAATAATACCGTCACAGATCTTAGTGACGAGATGGGGGACATTTCTTTCTCGGACAGTCAATGCAAAGAGAACGAGAGCAGAGAAGGAATTTTAGGTGCTATCGTGGACGAACACTTTACGGACGGACGTCTTGTAGAGTCAGAGCTGCGAGACTTGGGCTCCTACGACGAGGAGGACAATTTAGTTGAAGACGATGAAGCGACGCTTGGTCCTGCGGCTGGCAGCTATCTCGTGGCCAGCGAACCGAATGACGCAGATGACGCTATCCTGCGCACCCGCACGTACGACCTTTCCATTACCTACGACAAGTATTACCAGACGCCGCGCGTATGGCTTTTCGGCTATGATGAGCGTAACGCGCCACTGAGCGGCGATCAAATGTTTGAGGACATCATGCAGGACTATGCCAACCGCACCGTGACCATGGAGCCCCACCCGCACCGCAGCTCGCTCGTGCACGCATCCATCCACCCGTGTCAACACGGTGCCGTCATGAAGCGCATTATCGCCAATCTCAAGGCACGTAAACCCGGTGAGATTGAGACAGAAGAGCAGGTTGCCAATGAAATTCGCAGCGACCAGTACATTTTCTTGTTCCTCAAGTTTATCCAGTCAGTCATTCCTACAATTGATTATGACTACACGATTGAGGTGAATGCAAAGCAGTGACGAAGATGTCAAGTGGCAAGGCAGCAGATCTACTAGGAACATGCATCCAGCGACTGGTCTGTCTGTACTGACATAAGAGAGATGATGAATGCTGCAGTTTTTTTGTTTTTACTATACTTTATTTTACTAAAACTGTAAAAACTGCTGAAATCGTGGAGTGACATTTCTGGTTGTTGTCAGAATGTAAGACCAATATACCTTTTGTTTTGCTTAATCCTATGCAACAGAATGATTACAAAGGATACGTACGCCGTTTCGAGGAGAAAGCGAGAGAGAGAGAGGGAGAAAACATCTTTGTTAAGCTGTTCTTCAAGTGGTTAGAAAGCGTCAATAGTAGATACAAATATGGTATTCGTTACGCTCAAGTATATTATCATTGGAGACTCGGAGGTGGGTAAGTCGTCGCTGCTGTTGCAATTCACTGAGCAGCATTTCCAGCCCATTCACGACTTGACCATTGGCGTCGAGTTTGGAGCTAAACTACTGGAAGTAGACGGCCGCAAAGTAAAACTAGAAATTTGGGACACAGCAGGGCAAGAAACTTTTCTATCCATTACTCGGAGCTATTATCGGGGAGCAGATGGTGCATTACTCGTGTACGACGTGAGTCGGAAAGAGAGTTTCGACCACTTGGGCCGTTGGCTGCAAGAATGTCATCAGAATTGCCACAATGACGAAGTGGAAATCATGGTCGTGGGTATGAAGTGTGATGTTGAAGACCAGAAGCGAGAGGTCACGGAGGAGGACGGACGCAGTTGGGCCGCTGCTCATGGACTCTATTTCATTGAGGCCTCAGCCAAGACGGCGCTCAACGTGGAGCAGGTCCGTTGCTTGCTCGTAGCAAGTAGATGTGAGGGAGACGCGTAAACTGACTTTGTTATTGTTGCTGCTGCTGTCAGGCCTTTGCACTGACAGCTACGACGATTCTGCGGAACTTTGACTACTCAAATCACCAGGTCCGCAAGTTGCCGGGTCCCAGTCGAGTGTCTATAGATGTTGCTGTGGACCAACCACAGACAAAGTCTGAGTGTTGCGGAGGTGGGTAGAGCAAAACATTACCAAGCCCTTTAGTAGACACTTAGGTCTCTCATCCCACTCGCTATCAGTTATAAGCCGATGCCTGTACGGCAGATGCAACAAGAAGAGGTAAAAGTGTTCGCTTTCATTGTTGTTGTTGTTGCGTGTTCACTTGAGCTCTTTTGTCCGCTCGGTGGCTGCGCTGTCCAGAAGCTGCTGTACCCATTCGCCAATGAGGTTATTACCAGTGGCGAGATAATGTGCGTAGTGCGTATGGAGACACTTGACATTGGTAAACTCACGGATGCCGGCGATGCCAACGTCACGCAAGACAAACTCCCAGCCCCTGCTACTGACGAGCTTTACGTCATGAGGAGTCATCATCTTCCAGCGTTGCTCCGCGTATTCGCGATGGCTTTGCGCCATTTTCTGCAGCGTCAAGTCAGACGGGATCCCAGTGGTTTATCAATACACTGTCCATGACAGACCTACCTCTTTGGCGATTTCATCGGCATCCAGTCGATGCTGCAGCGTCAGTACAAACTGTTGATCTTCCAGCGTGGATACACAGGCCTTTAAATATGTTGAAACCAGCCAGTAAATGGTCGGAAAAGGTTCCACCTTAGCACGCTGCTTCTTCTTGTATGCATCCTCGGCATTGCGCAGTGGGTAGAGCAGTAACACAGCAGGACGATGGGCAGCCGAGATGCGACTTCGTGATGTCTGACCCTTGTTGTCCACAAATGCGCTTACTCTTACCAAATTATTAGGCACAAAACCCAATTCCTCACGCACCAAGGCCACTTCGTCTTCGGTCGCCTCGCACAGAAGACCTTCGTGCACCATTTTTATAACTGAACGTCTGACCAACAAAAAGCAAAGGGACTAGTTTTGTAAATATTTCAGTGAAGCAAAAGTGTATTTAAATGAGCCAATCAGATGTATTTCCAATTTAACGTCGCAAGGCTGATCGAGCCCCTCGTAGCGTCACGCTTTGGCGACGACTTGCTATTGATTGAAGTTACGTGTGCCATTCCCAAGCGATTCATTCATTAACAGGTCCATCTTGGTACTCACCGTCGTCACTTTTTTCATTAGAGAGTGCTTTCTTGCTTGATTGTTTACAAATGAAGCGGCCTGCTTTATTCAGTGCATCGAGTGCATGATGTTCCTTTCAAATATAGATATTAAATCAGATGAAGCAATTACAATGCAGTGAATGATAACATGTTGGTTGATATTGGCAAATGAAGACTATATAGAGTTCTCAGCTGTCGTGCTTAGGCCTAAACATACGTAAAGGTACACAGAACAGTCGCTGCCACTGACGTTGTTAGGTCGCATTTACCGCAGTAATCCAGGTAAATACATGCAAGTAAACCCTTCTTGTCGCCATATAGATCTCGTCGATGGACAAGATACCAGCTCAATAGAAAGACCTGTGGGGATGGCGATCAATCTCAAAGACCATCTACATTGCATTACTCGACGAGATGCTCTCAGCGTAAATACGATCGAGCAACGCACATCGATGGCCTTAAAGCCGACAGATCTCGAGAATGAATGAAGCACCATTCTCTTTTTTTCTTGAGTTTTACCGGCTGTAAGAGGTGGCTATAAGCCGTATATTCAGTTATGGTTATGACCACTGCTTCCTCGCAGTTCAACGTTAACCTTAGTTAATTCAACACCAGCATAGAGCTTGTTGACAATGGCGTCGTGGTGAGAGATCTTTGGCGTGTCGAAGTCACATAGTGCCCGTATATTTAGCTCCGCCGCTTCAGAAAATAATGTTGACACGGCATGTCAGACAAAAGGGATCAGTAAGTGCTCTCGTAACATACTTATTAAATTCCGTTGTGCGCCGAGGGGATCCGTTGCTCAATGTACGATCACCTCATTTTACTTGGAACTTGCTCGCCGTCGTTACCTCCCATTGCTGCAAAGAAGATTCATTGGGAACCTTTCGATGGATCTTTGGTCTTGGCTTTCCACACTGCTACGAGGCCAAACGCCGCCGCGGATTCACACAAAGCATAAAAACAAAGGAGGCAGCACGAAAACAATGTCTGGCGAGTACTACGAAATCGTAAGCGCACCATGGTTTGTTCATGGCTGTCATTATTCATTTACCACCACGACTCGGCGTTACAGAAAGTGACCTGGTCTGAGGTGTTGACCTAGAACTTGCCAAGCAGCGACGCGTACACGGCCATCACCGTCCACAGCCGATTCTCAGCCTCGTCAAACACGAGCGAGCGGGGTCCGTAGAAGACCTGCAATGAATCAAGTAGAGCAAAAGCACAGCAATGTTTCGTTAGTATATCAGTCACCTAGCAAATATGAATCCGTCATGTTTCATACCTCGTCATCGACCTCGTCCTGGTGACGCGGCAGGCAGTGCAGGAAGACGTGGTCGTCGTGCGCATTTTGCAACATCTTGTTAGTGATCTGGTAGCCTGCAAAGTCCTTGAGACGTTTTTGCGCCTCCTCCTCCTGGCCCATACTGATCCACGTGTCGGTGGCCACGACGTTTGCGCCCTTGACAGCTTCCACAGGGTCGGTGGTCATGATAACCTTGGTACCTGCAAGCGCGGCGAGGCGCTTGGTCTCGTCCACGACGTCCTGGTCGGGCTCATAGCCCTGAGGCGTGGCAATCTGAATGTTGGCACCGAGTTTAGGAGCGGCCAACATGTAGTCGTGCAGTACATTGTTGCCGTCACCCACCCAGGCAAACGTAAGACCCTCGATTTTGCCAAAATGTTCCTTGACTGTCATATAGTCGGCCAACATCTGCAACGGGTGGAACTTGTCCGAAAGTGCATTTATCACGGGCACCGTAGCCAATTCACCAAGCTCTAGAATGTCTTTGTGGTCGTACACACGTGCTAGGATAAGGCTATTAAAGCGTGAGAGCACAAGTGCCGTGTCCTTGAGTGTTTCATTCACACCCAATTGAATATCATCAGATGAGAGAAAGAGTCCTTTTCCACCCAACAAATGCATTCCCACTTCACTCGAAATGCGCGTGCGCGTACTTCGTTTTTGAAAAATCATTGAACAGATTTCACCCGTAAGTGGCTTAGAAGCCGACGCCTTTGTATCTTTATCCGAATACGTGACTTTAAACTCTTGTGCTTTGGTCAAAAGTCCTAGAAGTTGCTCCGTATCCAGCTCCGCTGTAGACATAAAGTTTTGTCCCTTGAGAGATGCCAAATTGGTACAAGTCGAAAAGAGTTCGTGTTTACTCATAATGCTATGAAACGAGACGATTGTTGTACGACGTGGAAAGAAGAATCGGTTAGTGAGTGACGCGAGTGACATGACTGGTCGAGGATCTGCTGGAACGATGAGTAGAAGCACAGAAATGGGCACACGACAAATCTTATGAGGTTTGTGAGATCTTGTTTATTTAATAATGGGAATGTTAACTGCTGAGAACGAACGAACAAATGCAAGTATATCATAATCCATTTGATACAACTGACTGCACTAGCTTTAAGCTTTCATGCATTTCATGCGACGGAATCATGACAGGCAGAAAAGCGGTATCTGTCGGACAAGTATATTTGCTAACGTGTCATGACTCGATGAGGAATGTTGACATGGAGACTCGTCTTGAGACGACATTGCATGAAACAAACAGTCAGAGTTTAAAGTTAGCACGATCGGTTTGATAGCGAGCAGGTTATACATGAGAGTAGCAGACTATTCACCATTTGTCTTGATACGGAGACAACACCACGCTTGAAGAAACGTGTGCAAGTCGCTTTTTTCGTACTGCCTCTCAAGGAATGGCTACGAGCAAGATGTGACCGGACTAGAAAGAAGATCATTTATCCGCATGGCGGAGATCAAAAGACAGACTCATACATCAAATGAAAAAGGAGGGAAGGCGCAGGTGGTGGTGGCGCCCTCCACGGATCGAGCGCATTTATCGAAGGGGGCAAAACAGGCGATTTCAGCCAAAGCCACGACGGTCTTAGGGGGCAACTAATTGTCATCTCGGGACGGCTAACAAGTGGCGTAAGTTTACGTAAATCAACTGAAATCAGCTCACTTGGATATATACGGGGCCACACTAGCAAGTTGAGTAAAAATCAAAGGCGTATTTGAATACCTTTGAACCTGTTGTTGGCTACTCTAATAGTACAGCCAATAAAGGGTTTAAATGGTGTTCTCAGCCATCAGAAAGACAAATGTTGTCAAATGTAGTAGTTTTTTCAGATCGATGAGCAATCTTTCACGAACGCTCACTAATAAAACTTATAGTGAATGTACTGAAAAGATAGTACAAATCAGCCAAAAGGAACGAATTCCAAACGTTTGACAAGTTTAAAACATGGGACGACGGTGTATTGCCATGTGCTGCGACTTTTTCTTTCCTCGATTAGGTGGCGTTGAGATGCACATGTGGTCTCTTTCTCAGTGTTTACTACGTCGTGATCACAAGGTTATTATACTTACCCATGCCGTTCCAGGATCTCGTAAAAATAGCTCCGAACCCGTTACGCGACGCTCTGGAGTACGCTACATGACAAACGGTCTTAAAGTCTATTATCTACCAGTAATACCCATGGTAGATAACGTAACATATCCGACGTTTGTTAATCATTTGGCTTTATTCCGAGCCATTTGTGTCCGGGAGAATGTACAGATTATTCATGGTCATCAAGCTACGTCCACCTTTATGCATGAGTGTCTTCTTCAGGCTAAAGCTTTAGATTTGGATATTAAAACAGTGTACACAGATCACTCACTCTTTGGCTTTGCAGACGCTGCAAGTGTCCATTTGAATAAAGTCATGAAGTTCTCCATGTCTACTGTCGATGCTGCCATTGGCGTATCCCACACGTGTCGAGAGAATTTAGTACTTCGAGCTTCGCTTTGTCCGGATAAAGTATCGACAATTCCTAATGCTGTGGATGCAACCAAGTTTATTCCACCAATTGCTGCAATACGTAAATCAAATGATCCAATTACGGTCGTGATTATCTCAAGACTGGTCTATCGTAAAGGAATTGACCTTGTGGCGAGAGCGATTCCATTAGTGTGTGCGCAAGACTCAAGAGTAGAGTTCCTGATCGGAGGAGACGGATCAAAACGGCTTCTACTGGAAGAAATGAGAGAGAAGTATAGACTGCACGATCGAGTGACGCTGTATGGGGCGGTGCCACACGCCCAGGTGCGGGATGTGCTATGTCAAGGGCACATATTTCTTAACAGCTCGTTGACTGAAAGTTTCTGCATCGCTATTCTGGAAGCTGCGGCTTGTGGCCTCTTTGTTGTGAGCACGCGGGTTGGTGGAGTGCCCGAAGTGCTACCACCTGATATGGTGCAGTTTGCTACAGATATTACGCCAGAGGCGCTGGCGGAGGCGGTTTTGGCTGCAGTGCCGCGGCTAGCGGATGTCGATAGGCTGAAGTTCCATGACCGTGTGGCGAAGATGTATAACTGGGACGCTGTTGCTGTGCAAACAGAAAAAATATACGAGAAGGTTTGTGCACTCCCAGACACCTCCCTGGTTAACCGACTGCAGCTTTACCACGGAATTGGTCCAGTGGCGGGATTGTTGGCCTCTGTTATGGCTGCGGTGCTGTATCTGATTGTGAGTTTCCTCGAGTGGTGGCAGCCTGCTGCTGACATTGAACGCGCCGTGGATTGGACCCCAGTATTCCGACAAGACGATGAAAATGGTGACTTACACGAATGAAAAAGAATACATGGTTGACTCAATTTGGCACCAGTACATCTTAAATTTTGTGGATATTAATCAAAGGAAGGAATGTCAACAACTTTACCGCTTTAGGTCCATCATGTAATGAGCATTGGTGCGCCAAAATTCAATACCGGACATTCAGAATGCTCATGAATTTAACTGAGATCGTTGTGGATTTTATTTTACGCCTTCGTTATTCTGCACCTGTTCGTGGATTGATGGCGCATATCTCGTGCAGCAATAGACTGCATCTATAACGGGCTAATAGTTACACGAATCTGTTAAATATCTGATACTTAAAGGGGAGGTCTAAAAGGGTACTTGGTACCTTAGATCTCCCACTTGGGTGAGGCACATCAATATGACCCACCCTCGTGGATGTGATATCCATGGATGGATTCACATTCAACGGGAGTGACGCCCAAGCGTCATGATGACGTTACAGACGAACGTCATCAGCGAGCTTAATATACATTAAAGCTCGCACGTAGTGATACGTTTCTACGTATTTACATTTGACCAATCAGTAGTTTACATTTTATAAAAAAATTCTCTATTAAATATAAGTCAGTCTTAAATTTCCTAATTACTGCTCACTGCACATGAGAAGCTGAATAAGCTTCTGCGAGTAGCAAGTAAAGCTTTTGTTCTTAGAAGTTCGTTGTGCGGATCGCTTCAAGCGACCGACAACGGTGGTACTGCGCTTCAAGCGCCGACCAACACCACCACCACCGCACGCGGAGTTAAGACTGTAACGGGGTGAGCCCGTTACATAATATTGACACTTATATGAAGTGTCAATAAAAATATTATTATAACTAATAATATTTGACAATATTTTCTTTTCTTATAATATTGTTCCTAAATCTCCTTGAAGTTGGAGATGCCCTATCATTGGTTGAGATGGGCCATCATATCAACCAGCGCGTTGACCAATGACCGATGAACGCGCCCAATGAGTGGAGGGCAAGTTATCAACATACATAGTTGTAGTTTAATATAGTTAACATAGGTTATAACAGATTAGTTGTATTAGATAGTTAACTATACTAAATACAGTTCTCTTTTTCCCTACTTCTAAGCGTTTGTTTAATTGATTCCCTTCCTCTGCTCACGTGTACGTGAGGCAATTTAGGCACCTGCTTTCACTGTAATAAGTGAAAGTAGACTATACTGTAATCAGTATAGTCGGAGGGTGCCCCATTACACCTGGTAGCACTTCGTGTTCCGTTCAGCGACCACCGCACCATCCACTATGGAATCAGCGGGTGATGAACGTCATCACGCAACGCGTGATGATTTCCGCCATTTGAGTGACCTCGAATGGAATGCGGTTCAGCGTATGGCTAAACCATCGGCAACCCTGCCGTTGGTGCCATGTTGCTCTCTCTTAGCGGAGACGACCAACATGCAACCATCGCCAAGTTCAAACAGCATGAACTTGACGAAGTTGTGAAGAAACTCACCTTGCTACAGGAGCAAGGTTCTCAACAGGTTGACCTGTTAAGAGAACAAGGCGCTCAACAAGCTGACTTGTTGATGCAGCAGGGTGCTCAGCAGTCTGAACTGTTTTGACAACAGCAGGCTAGTGCTGTTGCTGCCGGGTCGACGTATACACGTCTACCCGAGTCCTTGAAGATTGATGTAAGGCAGTCGAAAGCGATTTCTTGTTAAGATGGTTCGTCGAGCTCGACGATGCCATTGAGGCTCGTCGCATCGATGAAGATGCGATGAAGGTCAAGTTCGCCATGTCGAACTTGGACGTGCCAAAGCTTGGGCCTTAGGGCTCAAACTGCACGACTCATACGTTTTCCCAACGTATGACGTCTTCAAGGCGCGGCTCAAACACACATTTGAACCGCCTCGCGCCGAATTCAGGGCTCAGGCTGAGCTCCTGGATTTAAAACGGGGTAAGCGTGATATACACGCTTATGCCCAACACGTACGATACCTCGTTAGCTGTATCGTACTGAACCCAATCGATGAACAAACGCAGGCTACTGTGTTCATCAAGGGTCTGACAGATGGTCCTGTTAAGACCCACCTGTTCCGCTTGGAACTAGAATCGCTGGATCAAGCGATCTCTGCAGCGAAACAGGAGGACTTTAGACTACAACAGGCTCACGTCCACTCGGGATCCTATCGTCCACCGAGACGACAGGAGGGCGGAGGTCCAGAACCAATGGACCTCTCCTATGTAGAGAGCGAGCGACCTCGCTCTCCAGGGTACAAGCGATTGCAAAAGTGCAATCGATGTCAGAAGTTGGGCCACTACGCTTATGAGTGTAGTGCCCTACGCCCAGTGTCTCGTAACACTGGGAGTGACGATCGTCCGTCTGCCAAGAAGAGCCAGAGACGTGGGTCCCACGTTGCTGCGAAATCGCAACAACGTGGTGGACCATAAAAAAACGGTCGGGGTCAGTAGGGGCGGAGCGCCCTACTGATCCAGCAACGTCAAGAGAGTTCGCGGGACTCTTAACGAGGGTTACTCCCAACACACAGTCACTGTGTGATGCCGCTCCCAGTGATGAGGTATCCCTCATCACCTTGAAGATTGAAGTGACAAAGAACATGTCACTTCGCGCCCTAGTTGATTGTGGGGCTTCGAACAACTTTGTTCGACGCCAATCGCTAGATAATCGTAGGCTCAAATATGTTGAGCGCGAGACCCCTCCAACGAGGATGACGGTGCGCCTTGCAACTGGCACATCCGTAACAGCAAAGAAACGTGTAGTGGGAATTCACTACACGCTTGAAGGCAAAAAGTACGATGATGATTTCATCGTACTTGATCTGGATGACAAATTTGATGTCATCCTAGGATTACCATGGCTCAATAGGTACGAGCCATGGGTCAGCTGGCAGCATCGAACCGTGAAGATGCCTGCCGCTTGTTCATCAGATGGCCATCTGATGAACGTCTTGGAGCGGTTAAAAGCGTGTGAATGTACTACGAGTGAGTGTGATGGCCTCAATTGTGGTTCGGTCGTTAGTACGACTGCACAAGAACTCAGCGTGACAATCAGTCACGCTGTACAGCAAGCTGCCGGTGGCTGTGCACAAGCACAGGCAGCGCCGAAGGTCCACCACTCGAATAAGTCGAGTGGACCGGAACATGAATGCTCGCCTAGAGGGCAGCATTCACCGAAAATTAAACCGGTTGCCCAAAAGCGGCAACACGGTAATCCTAGATCAACTAGATAGTTTATCATAGAGGATCTCGCTGTGGTTGCGCCACCACAGCTAGAGGAAGTCGATGGAACAAGTTCCATCGAGCCTGCGGGAATAAGTCCCCAGGAAATAATTACTGAGGGAATAAGTCCCCAAGAAGTAACCGAGACGTTGAACGTCTTGGTTAATGACGGATCAAACGTAGGCGCTTATACACTTGATCTGATCGCGCCTTCGAAGTTAACTTTGGAGATAACTCAGTTGCCTACGCTAGAACCTAAAAGGTTCTTGCGTGATCTGCGTAGTGGCAAAGTCAAGCAGATCTGTGTTCTCGTCGCAGAGGACGAGTACATGACTGACATTCGGTCAGCAATAGTTTTTGCCCAGAACGAACGGGTTCTCAGCAGCTCATCAATGGACGAAAGTGTCCTTGATAAGAAGACTCGGACTGAGCGATATACATCGCAATCCTGGGAGTCTCTGAAGTCAAATCCTTTGTATAAGGATTTGGTCAAATTCAAGGATGTTTTTATTGAACCGTACCGTGCGAGTTGCCTAAGCATAAAGGTACTCGACACGAGATCGATCTTGTTCCTGGCACAAAATATTGTGTCATGAAGCAGTGGCCACTGCCTCGGGAACAGGTCGAGGCGATCGACAAGTTCTTTGCCGATCGCCTAGCAGCGGGCCATGTGAGGGAGTCAACTTCACCTCACAGCTCTCCGACTTTCTGTGTGCGCAAGGCCACAGGAGGGTGGCGGATAGTACACGCGTTCAATAAGCTGAACCCTGCAACGATACCGGCGCAAACGCCGATACCGAGAAAGGACGTAATCATAAATGGTATGTCTAAGAGTACCATCTTTTCGTCCATGGATCTGATAGATGGTTTCTATCCGATCCTAAAGCGTGAACGGGACATTGTTCCGGCAGAGTGCTGGGAGTCCGTATCAATGGACTTCGTCTTTGGGTTCTCTAAAGACGCTCACGGGAATAATGGTATTCTCGTGTTTGCAGACAGGTTCAGCAAGATGGTACATCTTGTTGCTTTACCTGAGTCGATCACAGCAGAGGGCTGTGCTCGAGTGTTTATCGATACAATCTTTCGATTGCACGGGTTACTCCGTAAACTTGTGTCCGATAGGGACCCCCGGTTCACGGCTGAGTTTTGGCGTTCCGTGTTCCAAACACTTGGAACACGGCTCACAATGTCTACTTCTGACCAACCAGATTGATGGTCAGACTGAACGCGCCAATCGCGTCCTCGAAGTATCTCTTCGAGGGTACGTCTACTCGTTCACGAGTTGGAGTGAGTTTTTGTCGATGATCGAATTCGCCATCAACAACTCAGTGCATGCGTCCACGAAGCATACACCGTTCTAAGTAAATGGCCTTTGCCATCCACGTGTCCCGACCTTAGTAGAGAGTGACTCTAACTAAAGGGGGAGAGACTCGCTCGAGCGAGAACCAATCTGGCTCTTGCTCATCACGCGACCACGTTAGGGACGACGCGAAAGTAACCGAAGTCGTACCATTCGACTTCGGTGAAGAGGAGGAAAGTAAGAGCGATGACGCTCTTACTGATAACGATGCTGAAGATATCAGCATCGTTCGAGGTATCACAAGTAAGAACAGTAATGTTCTCGCTGAATCAGTGATCGATATCTCTGCAGTGCATTCAAAATGCACTGCAGCCAAAAGCAACGAGTCAGCTGAGGATTTCCTGCTGACTCGTGAAGCGGTAGTCCGTTTCGTGCAAGACTCCATCACAGAAGCGGTGGATAAGCAAAAAAGAAACGCAGACAATAATGGAAGGACAAATG